CGACCCCTTCGACGGCTTCGACGAAGATGGGATCTACGAGTACATGGCCTTACAGCTACTAATAAAAGGAAAACTTTTGATTCATTTTTAGCCTGTTACTTTTTTTCTGGTTAGGTGAGAAATGCAGTAAACTCATTTTTCCGTTCAAGAGGTGTCAATCCTTTCGACGGATCCAAAGAAGTGACCCAATAGATACTAGTAAAACACTATTAATTTATTTTTGGCCTGTAACTCTGTTTCTAACTAGGTGGGAGATATAAAAAGATGCCTACCGTCAAGTAGAAAAAAAACAACAATCTGACTTCTATGGCTACATATAAATGATGGGCTTTGTTCTTTTTTATTATTCATCAATGGTGTTAGCTTTTTTGAAGAGATGCATACCTCTTTCTAAATATTTTGCACTGAGGGTAAAACTATCTTTTTTGATGCGGTCTGTTGCTAAAATTAGCTAGAAATACGATGCAATTATTAGAAAGTCAGTAGTTGGTACAAGAAAAATGGCTGCTGAAAATTGGCTGCTAACTTCACGCGAATGCCCGGAAGAATTGACTGCTAGAAACTGGCTGCTAACTTCACACCGGTATATTTCCATGTTATTTTCTTGCTTTCTTCCTTAGAAATAATAATTCTGTATGCAAGAAAACCGATCAATAAGTTAATCCCCAATCCCCATCGACATACCCCAACTAGTGCGAATACGCTAGCTGAAAATAAATCGGGAAAATATGGGAGGTGCTAATCTGAAATAGATAAGCAGTTATAGGAAGGAGCTTTTAATCATTAGATTTGGACAACAAACAAGCCTTTGAATAAAGACCGGTGTGAAGTTAGCAGCGTATTCGGACTAGTTGGGGTAGTTGATGCAATCATCCTGGATTAGCTTATTGCTCGGTTTTCTTGCATACAGCGTTAATATTTCTAAGGAAGAAATCATTTGAAAAAATAACATGGAAATATTACATTTGCTGGGTACGCGATGATGGCGCCACCTAGCGGATGTCGACAATATAAAAATAAACGGATGTGAATAATGTGAATCTCAAACTGACAATTTTCTTTGAGTTGACCTCACATGTCGCAGGTTTCACTAGACGCCTGTATTCCACCATCTGCATCTGTCTGCTGATATTTCCTTTTTTCCACGTGCGCGGCATGAATATAAATGAATCAGTCAGTGCAAAAACAACTTCAATCCATTTTTCTATAAACATGCTTTTTTTCACTGAAAATGCTTTATTAAAGCTAGATCCGTATTCTGGATCAACACTTCGTAAGTCACATTCCTTCTCCTCCAAATAACACCACGGAATACACTTCTTGGTTTTTGCATGTACTACACAACGGCGGATACTTGAATGGGTCAAAAACAATACCAGTATCTCTGTATTATTTTATTTTCATATATATATATACAGTGAAAGCTCTCCTTGCGGACAGCTCCTATAAGCGGACATCTCTTTTAACCGGACAAAGTTCCTGGAACCGAATTCCAGCCATCAATTTTCAATGTTAAATGCATTCCGATAAACGGACGCTCTTATAAACGGACGCGGACACTAGATTTTCCTGTATGTGATCAAAAAATCTCCCATAAGCGGACGCGAAACTCTAATACCCGGACGATTTTTTAGTTCCGCTTATTGCAATGCACATATCTACATACATAAAATTCGGTAATTCCCCGATTTATATTAGGTGATTCCCCATTTACGCATTTCGTTGGGTAGCCTGTATGTAATCTTGTGGCTTGTCTTCAGTTCAGGCAAATTCGTAGTTGATTGAGTTACGTATTTTATTATTGTAACTGTAAAATGGCACAAAAAAAAAAGGATGCTCTCGTTAAAGGAAAAGATGGAAGTTGTTAACGTATTAGACAGAGAAAGTGTTTCAGTTCGTCATTTGGCAAAGAGGTTTAATATTGGGAAAACGCAAGCAGCTGAAATTGCCAAAAATAAGGAAGATATCAGGAGTAAATGGCAATCAGGAACTAATATAAATCAAAAGAAGGATTTTTTAAAAAAGGAAGGTTTTGCTATAGACAAAACATGTTTTGAGTGGTTTGTGAAAGCTAGAAGTCAGAACATTCCAATCTCAGGGCCGTTAGTGAAAATGAAAGCTAAAGAAATCGCCACTACTTTGGGCTATAATAATTTCAGTGCGTCCGACGGGTGGCTGCAAAAGTGGCGCAAGAGACATAGTGTGAGTTTCAAATGCATATCTGGCGAAGCTGCTGCAGTAGATCAAGTTGATGTGTCACAATTTTTGGAGAAACTTCCGTCCATGTTGCTTGGCTACAAACCAGAAGATGTGTACAACGCAGATGAGAGTGGACTTTTTTTCGCGCATTCCCCGACAAAACTCTGTCCTTTAAAGGAGAAACATGTGTGGGTGGAAAGTTGTCTAAAGATAGACTAACCATTTTATTCTGTGCAAATATGGCCGGTGAAAAATGCGATTTGATTGTGATCGGGAAAGCAGCTCGTCTCCGTGCTTTAAAAAACGTTGCTATTAAGGATCTACCAGCGACTTGGAAATCCAACAAAAAGGCATGGATGACCCGAGAAATCATGTCTGAGTGGTTAGTCGAATTCGACCGGAAAATGAGAATCCAAAAAAGGCAAGTTCTTTTATTTTTAGACAATGCATGCTCTCATCCTCGTGATATGAAAATGAAAAATGTGAAAATTATATTTTTACCGCCAAACACAACTTCTGTTTGTCAGCCCATGGATCAAGGTGTCATACAGAACTTTAAATTTTATTATCGGCACTTGATTTTAAAACATATTTTAACAAAAATTGACGATAGTCAAAGCTTATCTGAGCTTACAAAGTCTATCAATGTGTTAGAAGCTTTGTATTTTATAAAAACAGCATGGAATAAAGTAAATTCCTCTACAATTAAAAACTGTTTTGGCAAAGCTGGATTCAGAAAAATTGAATGTAGCTCAGAATTTGCTGAGCAAAATTATTGCGATGCTGAAGACGATCTGCCCTTAGCGACACTTGCTCAGTTACTGCGACATGCCAAACATTTAGGAGTAGCAGATCCCCAGAAAGTAGATGATTTCCTGGCCATAGACAATAACATAACAACAGAAGAAAATGCCATTGGCAACTTTTCGAATTTGGATGTAGAAAGCCCAGGCCAACTTGAATATGGTAGTCCAAACGAATCAGAAGAAGAAGTGGAACTGGTGGACTCACTAAGCGGTTCAAAAACGATAAATTTATATGGGGAAGCTCTAAATCATATTTCTATATTGAAAAAATTTGCTAAAGATGATTTCACTGCATTTCAACATTTGAAAAATTTAGAAAGTTATTACGAAAATTGTCTCCTTCAGCAAAAGATGGTGAAATTTCGTCAGACAAACATTTTAAACTTTTTTCAACAAGCTAAAGAATAATGTTTTTTTTAAATTCTCGTACCATGTATTGAAGCATTTATGTTTTTGTATGCGTATATGTGCATATATTATATAGATATATAGCATAAATACATACTTTAAAAATGTGGCGAGTTTCTGTTTCATTTTTCTCATGATTATAATACCTCATTTCCTCATGATTATATACCCCGTTATTTATACTCTATACTTACATACTCTCTTTTAAACGGACACCTCCCATAAGCGGACAAAAGTTACGGAACCGTGAGTGTCCGCTTATGGGAGCTATCACTGTATATATATATATAACTTGAGACGTGGTCATTGTCGTCTAGACCAGTTAGGTGAAAAATTAAAGCTTCCGCCTTTTGTTGGGTACTTCGACAAAATTTAAGCAAAGAGGACTCTTTATACCTTTTTTAATTCTCTCTAGCTTTCAATGGACTTTGCCATCATCATCAGGAGAGTAGTATGTGAGGATGTTGCTAATTGTTGTTTACGTATAGGATGAGGGAAACGTCCAGTAACATGGTGAGAGCTGGATAGATTGTACAATGGTCAAAATTATATAAAATATGACAAGAACAAGTTAAAAACAGATTAGCAGATTAGCATTACATCGTGAAGCCACTTGATCAAGTGGCTTCACGATGTAATGCTGTAATGTTTTTTAAATAATTTTTAATCTGTTTTTAACTTGTTCTTGTCATATTTTATATAATTTTGACCATTGTACAATCTATCCAGCTCTCACCATGTTACTGGACGTTTCCCTCATCCTATACGTAAACAACAATTAGCAACATCCTCACATACTACTCTCCTGATGATGATGGCAAAGTCCATTGAAAGCTAGAGAGAATTAAAAAAGGTATAAAGAGTCCTCTTTGCTTAAATTTTGTCGAAGTACCCAACAAAAGGCGGAAGCTTTAATTTTTCACCTATATATATATATATATATATATATGCAATATGCACCAAAATAGTAATTTTAAATTCACGCACAACACCTATCTTGCAATGACAGTTTTTTTGTTGGAAAAATACATTTTCTCACCCGATAGTCAGATAAGCACATGGGTTCTGCTACAACCGATTTCTGATTGTTAAAGAAAGTTGACCGAATGTCTCTGTATTTTTTCACGATGCCCCATTCATGGTTTCGATTAAAACGTGCAATTCGACTTCTTTCTTCTGTGGTTATTCGAAATTTCAGTATCTTGGAACAGAAATACTACATTGAGCCCAAAAAGTACTTTGAAAGTGGTTTATTTGTCACTCTTCTGGAAAATTAAAGTAATAGGACTTACAAGGTTTTTGTACTGACTGATTCAAATTCAGTGCGCTGCATTCTAGGAAGATATATTAACCTCATATGTATAATAAGTTTTCATCTTTCTTTTGAACATACTTCCTGCCACTGTCTATTGAATTACCATGTATCGTGCATAATAGTTGTTTGTATTAATTTATTATAGGTGATGTTACGCCTGAATCAACAAGTCAGTGAAAACCGAATTTCTCGAAAATGTTTTGAAGCGGATATCTTTAATCTTTGTAACTTCATTTCATATAAAGTTATTAACAACTATGCTGAATTTCATAATGATCGGTCCAACAGACAGGCATACTGATGACTGGAAGGTCGATGTAAATATTATCAAAGCTTTCTTGAAATCTAGAAATTACTTATACACGAAGATAAATGATAAAAATAACCGAACAAAGCAGTTGCTCTTTACTTTTGGTCAAGCCATGGTGTATCGCATGATTTTGGCTTTTTTCTAGGATTTCAAAAATTACGTGTACTCAGAAACCGTTCGACTTTGCACTAAGGTATACAATGACAACCAAATTTGTCTGACGGCTTAAGTTCAATGTGTAGGAGAGAGAAGTGTGTAGAGACAGAAGCCGGCTGGATAGCGAATCTCATTACCGCGTTGTCTAGCAACGCTGACGCAGCAATCTGCCGCGTTGCCGATATGTTACACCAGTTCCTTGAATTAAGATGCATGTTGAAAATATGCCTTAGTTTATCCTCTACGCCCAAATAATGGTTTTATTTTGAGCATACACATTTTGAATCGTGTCGAATCAATTAGGGCTCGATTCAGGATCGCTTTATTTTAGATCGAAATGAAAGGTCAGGATCGCTAAAATTCTGCAACATTGAATCATTGGTTCGCTTGCCAACACCGCGTCTCGTACATTCCAAGGCAAGGTTTTCACCTCCATGATCATAGATCAGCGATTTTGGTCACTATCCATCTAGCGCTCCTCGGGGCATGTCGTCCTGCTTCGAAGTGGTTTTCACCCGCGTACACGCAGGCAGAGATAATTTGTATTGCGTAATGGTATTTGTTACATTTTTCGACCGTTCGCTGCCGCAAAATGTAACAATGACTCAGGATATGTTGATTTTATCACCATCGGTAGAAACCAAAGATAGTTTTAAAGTAAATTAAAATACTAAGTCGCATCAAAATTGAAATAACTAATTCTAATCAAAATGAAAAAATATTAAATTAAATGTTAGAAAAGACCTCCTTCTTGGCTTTGACACTAACTTAACTCATTGTAGAAGCCTGTGCGAACGCATTCCGGCTTCTATCACTTTCTAACATACACACTTCTCGCGCTTCTCTCTTGTACACATGTAACCCAAGTTTTCAGACAAACTTGGTTTTCCCCAAATATGTGGCTCGATGTGTTCCAACTGGGATGTACCTTCAGCGCTTAGAAGGTAACAAAAAAATAGCGACCAACGCTACGGGATATACCCTGGGATATATTTTTTGTCAAAAAAATACTCGACTTTGATATTTTGTTAAATTAGTCAGTTTTGCAGATAGAGTAACAACATTTTGTCATCATTTATACAGAGTGCTAATAAGCTTTTTTTACACCGGAGCATCCGCGCAGGCATAAGCCTAAATGTTGCTATGAGGATTCAAAGAAACTTCCTCTTGTAGATTGTTCCACAATCTCGACGCCCTAGTGCCAAACGAGCAGTCGTATCGGCCAGTTCTGGATGAACGAAGTTTGACACGGTTACGATGGGATTCTGAAGTCAGCCGGGTCTGTCTGGTAGATACATCGCACGGCCGCATGATGGAGGCGAGCTCTGAGGAGCAAAGCCCTTTGGTGTAGCGGTAGAAGAGAGCTAGATTGCCGACGTCCCACCGGTGCGAAAAGGTCCCGAGACTGTCTGCTAGAGAAGACATCGACCAGTCGGAACAGCATCGAGCATGAATAGTGTAATCGAGGCGTCAGAACCCCAAACGTGTGAGTAATACTAGAGGCTAGGTCTTATCTGGGCCCAGCATAGAGTGAAGAGGTCATGTGGAGAAAAGTACTTCTTAGCCCTACACAAATAGCCTAGCTTTTTTCTAGCAGCTACCGCTATTGACGAGATGTGCTAGAGCCAGATCAAGTCGTCGGTCATCTGGCCTCCGATCAGCCGAATTGAACGCCTCTTTGGTAGAACTCGGCCACGCATTGAAACCGGATGAGCGCTAGGGCGCTTTTTGTTCGTCAAGGTACAGTACAAGTGTGATATGGAAGCATTAAACTGTACAAGATTGTTGCGTCCCTAAGCAGTGATAACCTCCAGATCTCTTGTTACAGAGAAAGTCGCTGCTAGTTTTATTGTTTTTTGCTCACCGGCAGAGATTGGCTTGTTGCATGTAGAGTGCTGTCATAAGCAACGCTGTGGATTGTATTGATTGTGTACAGGAAAGGAGGTCGTTGATATGTAAGGGGTACAGTGTCGGAGCCAAGACCGATACTTGGGAAACACCCACATTGACGTTGAGGGATGTCAATTACGACGGATATCTTGCGGCTAGAGAGAGTGTCAGCCATCCATCTGCAAAGCTTCTCTAGGAGGCCGTAGGAAGGAGCTTTGCATAAGAGGACTGCGTTCCACAGCTGATCGAACGCTTTCGTGATATCCAGAGCAACGACATGAACCTGACCATAAGACTGGATGAGTTTACTTCTCATTTGCGTGACGTAAGTAACCTAACCGTGGTCTGAGTTACCCAGAGGAGATAGGACAATAGTGCTCTACGGGACAGGATGCATGGTCCGAGAGCCACCAGGCTACTGTCGTGTGACGAAACGCGGCGCGTCACCAGCTGGTCAGTCCTTGGGTAATAGCGAACGCTTCAAATGCATGACCTGCTCCCTCGGTCTTGTTTGAGCCCAACCAAAGCTCATTGTGGGCATTGAAATCATCGAGGAGAACTACCTCTGAAGCGGGGTGATTGATGTTCAGGAAGTCGATCTTGACAGCGACGTATTCAAGTAGGTAATCCCAGTTATGGTCTGAGAGAGATCGATAAAGGCAGCAAATAAATTTGGGGGATGCTTTGGAGTTGAGGCGAAGCCACAGAATGCCCTTCCGGTCTGATTCCAAAGAAACGTCTTTGTTGTGGATAAAAGCCACAACTCGCCGTGCTTTCTCAGATTGGAGTATACCTCGTAATTTGGAAAGCTAAGATGATTAATCTGTGCCAAGAAAAACACGTCGGGACGATCAGATTGCAGCTAGTGATGAACAGCATCAATGTTGCTGTTACTCCCCCAGATGTTTGTGCAACAAATTTTATCATCGATGTTGTTCCCTCGAGTCCACCCTCCACCCGGACATTCTGAGAATGGAGTGAGTTTACGTCCGGAATTTTTATTACTCGAGGGATCCATCATCATTAATTTCTTAGTTGGGGAAGATAACCGACTGCTTAGCTTAGGTGTGGTGGAAGCATGCGGACACTTATAAGACATTGGAAAAATCTAGCGGTGGTACCGCCTCGGTCGACTGGTCTTTGTCTACGACCTTCTTTTTGCGAGTTAATGATGTTAAATAGACCTAACAGTGGCCTGGTGGCGAACTTATACCGTCACCGGGCAGTCGGTACTGAGGTTTTCCTTAATGCGTGCACAATTACTTGAACGGGAATAAGTTGTATGCTGAATACAACTTCCGGAACACGCATTTTCCACCGCCCCACTCAGTCACTTTGTCTAGAAGTAACCTTATTTACGCACTATTGGCCGATCCTATATATTATAATGATAAAAGCCGTAAACGTTTAGTATCAGATGTAGGGAAATGTATTTTTTTACAGAATAGGTAATCGATGCCGCCTTGTTCCCGCGGAACTGACAAGGTCAGCTTCATGCATATTTTAAAGATTATTAGTATTTAAGTAGTTCAGATACTTACCCAGTCGTTTACCAATAGCATATTAGCACGTATTGATAGCCTTAGATAATGACAATAATAGTTATCAACCGTGAATTTATACAGGGTGGCGCATCGAAAACGAAACAGTCGCATTTACTCGCAGCTCTGTTTTTTTTTTGAAAAACGCTCAGACCCGTCAATTTTGTTTTCGAGGGGGACACAAGTTTGGCAAAAAATGACGTTAGCACGCGCAGCCCCCTAAGCGGGGGTGACACCACCCCCAAAATCTTAAATGAAAAGGGGGGTCGAGTGATACCTTATTTTAAAGGTCTTTCAATTCCCTTTATAACGATATAAAATTAATGTACTTCAGTTCAGTAGTTTTGAAGGATTATTGATTTAAAGCTTAAATAAAACTAATACATCATCATTAGTCGAGATCAATACATTTGGCAGCAAAGTAATTTAAAAATGAAGAATGAACTGACCCGTTAGGCAAGTAAATGTTGAAAATGGCCACCATGCAATAATAAAGATTTTGCTCAAAACGTTGCCGCACATTTGGCAATATTTGAGGAGTACTTTGAAGGCATTCATTCACAATTCTTTGTCGCAGGTCTTCTAATGATGTTGGCTGAGTAGCATAGATTTTGCTTTTTAAATGACCCCACATAAAGAAATCCAAAGGTGATAAATCTGGCGATTTTGGGGGCCATTTAATGGCACCTCTTCTACCAATCCATCGATCTGGAAACGTCTGATCTAAGTATTGTCGAACACGTAATGCGTAATGTGGTGGGGTACCATCCTCATGTACCGCCGATCATTCTGATTTTCAATTATGGCTGTTAATGCAGGTTCTATGGCATCTTGCAGTAATTCCAAATACATTTCACCGGTCGAAAAAGGACCAACTAAATGATCGCAAAAAATACCAGCCCAAACATTTAATTTTTGTGGCTACTGTGTATGAACCTCATGACAAATTCTGGGATTAGAATCGGACCAATATCGGCAGTTATGACGATTTACTACGACGTTTAAGAAAAAGGAACATTCGTCGGAAAAGCAAGTGTTGAATAGAAAATGTTCATCGTTTATAATTCGTTCACTCATATCTTCACAAAATTGTAATCGCCGATCAAAATCGTCTTCATTAAGTTCTTGTACCAGGTGAATTTTATACGGATAAAACTATGGGCCTTTAGAATCCGTTGGACATTACGTCGACCAACACCAACCACAGTCTCCAGTTTACGGGTACTTAACGTAGGATCTACATAAACTTGCCTTAAAACCCCCACTTCTATTGCTTTGTTCCTTATGTGATTTTCAATGTTGCGTTTTTTATTGGCGACTGACCCAGTTTCCCGAAATTTAGCTACAAGTTCTAGAACATATTTTCGATGCACGTTCTCATGTCGCTCATTAAATATTTCTGCTGTTCTATTAGCGCACT